GCTTTGTATCAATTTAAAATGCGAGGGATGCCAATTCTAGACAATGTTAACTCTAGACATAAAAAAAAGTTTGCCTCCCTTTCCTAAATTATCCTCCTTACTAATCAGTGCATAGGGCTATTACTTAAGGGTCAGTACTTCAAAACCATTCCATTTCACTATTAACAACATAAAATTGTAGTTTCCTTTACAGGTTTCCTCTTGCCAATTTATTTTTTAGTGAACAACGTGGAAATGATACAAGCTACTAAGATTATATGTGGCATTAATGCAAAGCAAAATGCTGCCTAAAGCATGTTTTATATAACTGCAAATAAAAATGCTAAAAAAAAAAAAACACCTGCTGAATCTTGTATTTTAACCTCCTCCACTTAAAGCAAGAATCCACATGATTACTCTGAGCTTCCAAGTGGACTAAAGGGCTGGCCTTCTAAGTGGGTTTCACCATCTTTCCTTCCAGCGAAATGACCTTCTGCGTAAGGGGCTCACATATGACATCACCTTGGAAGGAAGGGGATGGGCAGGAGGGAAAACTATCAGATGACTGGCTTCAGGTTCAAATTTTTTATAGGGGGCCTGAAACTGGTGAGCTTTCCACTGTAGGCAACACACAAAGTTTACTTTCTTTCCTAACTTTAATGCTGCCAGAATACACATGTACTCTTACTTTCTTAGGAGAAAATGTGTCATTTGATTTCCTTCCAGTTTATGTACTCGTGCCAACAACTAAAATGCTTAAAGAACCAAAATGAATTGCTACCCAGAAACGGTGGTCAAAGTTCCAAAATTTGATCAATAAAATTGCTCATCTACTCACAAATTAATCTTCAGCCAGTAAAGTTACGCATTTTCGAGGTTATGAGTACACCTGCACTGTTAAGCATTTATTTCATTTGTTTAAGCAATCTTCAGAAGTATATAAATATTTATAAAAGAGAGCCTATGCTGGGTGCAGTGGCTCATGCCTGTAATCCTAACACTTTGGGAGGTCGAGGCAGGTGGATCACCTGAGGTCAGGGGTTCAAGACCAGCCTGGTCAACATGGCAAAACCAAGTGTCTACTAAAATTACAAAAATTAGCTGGGCATGGTGGTGCATGCCTGTAGCCCCAGCTACTCGGGAGGCTGAGCAGGAGAATCGCTTGAACCTGGAAGATGGAGGATGCAGTGAGCCAAGATCGCTCCACTGCACTCCAACCTGGGTGAAAGAGCGAGACTCCATCTCAAAAAAAAAAAAAAGAGCCTACTATTTTTACTTATCTGTAATTTTCTTTTTGCAGCAAAACGTTAATTTGTTTACAACTCATAAGCCTCCTGAAGGCAGGGTCTGTCTCTTCAACAGTTCTGTATCCCATGAACACCAGCACCATGCCCAGCCTGCTTTGGAAATGATCACCAACTTGCACTTAATTAATTCAGATCACTCTGATTCTGAATTTATGATGGGGCCAATTTTCAATTTTCATTTGTATCATTCATAAAAAAATTTGCAAAGCAAATGAACAGACTAAGTAAAAAGATAATTTCAGTTACTAAGTAGAATATTTCTCAAGAACTTCAGAAGCAGTATCTATACCCGATTAATGCCTTCATTAATAAACCACATCATCCAAGAATGTGACCAGCTCAGATTTGGTTCAGTATGTGGATCTGCAAAGAGTGATATTTCTCTCTTATTTACTCTCATCTCCCTGAAATTAGACCAAATTGGTGATGTTTGACTACATTTTATGATCTCTATCGAGTAACCACTTATAGCCTCCTCTAACTTTCCATTTTCTTTTGTTTGTATCATCAGCCTGTGAAACCAGAGAGCGCTGCCAAACATAAAGCAGGGAAGTGTGAGATATGCTTAAAATATGAGTCACAGTATATTTGGGGATTTGGGTTTCTTTTTTTTTTTTCCCCTCAAGCTATCAGCAGATCAAATCCTCCCTCCCTGTCAAGCCTTCCTCTATGCAGAAGATCTGAAATTTGCTAAAATCGGTCTCTCGGTGTAGTTATGAAGGGTGAGAAGATCAGAGATGAGCACTGTTAAGATTTGCTGTAGGATTTCCCTTTCATTTCAGAGCCACTCCGGCGGAGATGCCTCAGCGAGGATGCAGTATGGCAAGATATATTTAAATATGAAGGTTATTCCTTCTGTGAATCACCAAGTCTATATGCATATTTTTATAATGAGGTAATATACCATGTGGCCTAGGATAGTAATTTCTCCTCTGTTTGTGGAAGGCCAGCCAACCTAATAAAGCTTACTGAATGTGCATGACCCTATCAGGCAGCTGAGGGGTCCTTCAGCAATCGTCTGTGATACACACACACACCAGTCCACCAACCCTTTAGATTTCTTTCCCCTGGCCAAATCTTAAAGCTGGTCTAAATTCTCTGCTTGTCAACTCCTCTACTTGGGGGGTAGGAAAAAAAATCAAGACATCTTCTTTACCAAAACCAGCATTCAAGATTACCCCTTCTCCCCCCACTTTTTATACAGACTGAAGAGCTCAGCAGAATGTGTGAGGTTGGTTTTGACACTGTCCTTGCCAAGAAAAACGAAGCCCTCTATATCACCCTCTTCTGCATGGTGCCTAAAAACCCTGGAACAGGCAAGAAGAAAAAGAGCCCTCAAAAGGAAATCCCCTGAAACTTTACTTCTTATATTTAGCCCTCAAGGAACTTCGTTCATCTTGGAAAAGAAGTTACCTAAAAATGCCATATGTTTTTAAAAAGCAAGTATGAGGGAAAATAATTCTACCATAAAAAAATCACAAATGATATTCAATACTGAAGAGCAGTGTGATCAGGCAGATTGTGTATGTGTGTATTTTTTTTTATTATCTCTAACCAAAGCTCTACTATGTGTAAGATTTTCCCCCCAATAATATATTTTCATTTTCCCAATGCACTTGAGGTCTGATGAATTCAAGAGGACTCGGGGTATTTTTAAGGCTGTGAGAGCTCCAAGAGGGAGGCAAAAAGAATGGACCATCATTTGAATCAATGAGTGACAGGCTGGGCTAGCTCCCTGTATACATTAATAAATTAGAATTTTAATTGTGTCTCTGTCCACAGGAGATGTCCCAGTACTTTAATATGTACCAACAATTGGCTATGTTATGGAATCTGCAATGTGGCCTCCGCTGCTGACCTCTGAAACACAATTCCCAGTCTGACTACGGAAACTGTTCAGTTTGATCCTTTCAACTTATTTGAATCCTGACAAATAAGCTCACAGCTGAAAGGTCAATATAGTCATATTTCATCCTCCAGAGCTGTTCTTAAGACATCTGCACAACAAAGCACTTCTTATAGCACCTGACATGGGCCCTCAATGGCACTATACCTCATTAAAAATGTCCCCTGCATGCGCATGCATTCCAAGGCACATGGTCTGGTGATGGTTTACCAAATAAGTGTTTACAGAAGAAGGGTTAGTAAACAAGGCACATTGTCAACTCTTCCAATAAAGTGTCACTATAGTGCTGAACTCTCGCTGGAAAGTGAGTTTCCCAAGTACATGTAGAAGAACTATAACTTGTTGGTCAAGGTCAGTTTGATCTTTGCGGATAATCTGGGAACAGGCTGTGGTTCACCCTGACCTGTGAAAAGTAAACACAAGCTAGAATTTAGGTTGACCTCATTATCCAATTAATTGGCACCAAGTTATACACCTATCAGCTGCCGCTTACAGATTCTGTCCCCTCCTGTGATAGGGATGCCCACCTTCAGCTATGAAAGTAGTCTGAACCACTTAGCACCCGGGTGCCAAGTGCCCTCTCTTACATGTGAGCATGAAGACCCTGATTCAAGTTTCTTTGAAATTTCTATTACAATTTTCTACTTTGAGTCAAAAATCCAAATTAGAATTTTTTTTTTTTTTTTTTTGAGATGGAGTTTCACTCTTGTCACCCAGGCTGGAGCACAGTGGTGCAATCTTGGCTCACTGCAACCTCCACCTCCCAGGTTCAAGCGATTCTCCTGCCTCAGCCTCCCTAGTAGCTGGGATTACAGGCACCTGCCACCAAGCCTGGCTAATTTTTATATTTTTGGTAGAGATGGAGTTTCACCATGTTGGCCAGTCTGGTCTCAAACTCCTGACCTCAAGTGATCCGCCTGCCTCAGCTTCTCAAAGTGCTGGGATTACAGGTGTGAGCCACCATGCCCAGCCCCAAATTAGATTTTTATAAACTTACTCCTTCTTCTACTCCATTAACCCCTTGCCTTCAACGTGCCTGAAATCAGAAGTTGCTAGAACAACCATTTTTGTATCTTTACATAAAAATTTCTTGCCACTTAAAAATGATGACCTAGAAACATTCTGAACATATCCACTGAAGAATTGGGTATATATTAGAATCATTACAAGACATAATATTAAAAGTACCACATCCTCCTCAGGCCAAGTCATAGTTCTTGATGCTACTGACATTCTGGGATGAATTATAGTGTGTTGTGTCCTGTGCATTGCAGGGTGTTTGGCAAGATCCCGGCCTGTACCTACTGGATGCCAGCAACACCTCTGCCCTGCTAGTTGTGACAACCAAAAACGTCTCTAGACGTTGTCCATTGTCCTCTGGTGGGGGGCAGCAGTGGGGGGACGGGGGGCGGAAATCATCCCTATTAAGGATGACTACACTAAAATAAGTGTGTGTCTGTGTGTGTTTATCCCATTTCCAGACGCAACATAAGAGAATGTGGTGACAATTCTGAGTACTATGAACTTTTCTCACTGGTAACCTACACTGCCTATCAGCAACTCAACACTTGCAACTCCTTATCCTTCTATTATATTCACCGATCAGGAGATCTTACGCCTGACAATAAAACTTTTGGCCAAATACACATTTTCCCCAAAATGTTATACCCTGCTAGTAAACCAAAAACGCACTTTCCACAGAAGATTTTCTTACATGATTTGCAATGCTCAACACAATCCACTCCTGAACTGCTTATCAGTTATCCCAAAGGGTAGAATGTCAATTTAAAAAGAAAAAGAATTGTTACCTGAAGAGCTGGTTGTTTGTCATTCCTCTTGGGAGATTTTAATCCACTAACTTGCTGCTGCTGTTGCTGCTGAAGGAGGAGCTGTCTTGCCACCTGAAGTGCCTGGAAGGAAAAACAGATGAAAATCTTTTGCGTTACTACACAGGTTCGGGGGACTCTTCATAAAAAAGGATTCCAGGAAGCGCGCTTTGGGACTGGGTCCTGACTTTCCTATTTCCTGGCAAATGAAAACAGCAAACGAAACTTCCCACCAGTCTTAGTTGGAAAACTTTCCAGAATTTGTTTACGTTTCCTTTGACTTGGCCAATTTCATCCACAGTTCCACAGGCATCTAGGCAGATACTTTATTCCTACTACAGATCTGACATGAAATTTAAGACCATGAGTGACTGGGACTCTGAAGAAAGATGACAGAGACACTAGGAGGAACCCGGGCAAAGAGGAAAACTTGGGAGACACTACAGGGCCCTTTTCAGGATCACCTTCACCCTCCCCCCAGTTCTTCTTGCGGAAATGTGGCGACTCAAGTTGAAAGTAATACTTTCACCCGATCTGAGTCCAAATAAAGAGAAACAAGTAAGTGGTGGATCACAGGAAAAGTATACACTATGGGTTAGGCTATCTAGGAAGGAAGATGAAACAGATGAGACATACCTAGGATGACCTTAATAGAAATCAGAGAGGAAATTTTGGCAAATCTGATCTCTAGTCATCTTAAAGAGGAACATTATGTATCTGTGAACAAAACTGGTTACGTTTATTACAAATGACCCTTTCAGGCTTACAATATGGAAAGGTTTTTCCTTAAAGGTAGACATTGGGGAGGTACTATGATTTGGAGATAAAGCAGGAAGAAAACAGAAGAGTCCTCTAAAATGTTTAACATATGAATGACAAATCTTTTTAAAAGTTCAAGACTGGGCGTGGTGGTTCACGCCTGTAATCCCAGCACTTTGGGAGACTGAGGTGGGCAGATCACTTGAGGTCAGGAGTTCGAGACCAGCCTGGCCAACATGGTGAAACCCTGTCTCTACTAAAAATACAAACATCAGCTGGGTGTGGTGGCAGATGCCTGTAATCCCAGCTACTTGGGAGGCTGAGGCAGAAGAATCGCTTGAATCCAGAAGGCGGAGGTTGGGGTGAGTTGAGATAGCACCACTGTGCTTCAGCCTGGGTAGCAGAGTAAGTTTCCACCTCAAAAAATAAAATAAAATAAAATAAATAAAAGCTGAAGTAAAAAAGAAAAAAACAGTGTCATCGATACACCCCCACGAAGACATTCACTGCCAAAGAATTCAGAACAAGAATAATAGCTAGCCACACACCTTTCCAAAGATGGCAGTAGGATCAGCAACAGAAAACTGAAGTTTGAGGATATTGTGCTAGAAAGTCATATGAAAAGTTGGGTTACTTGAGTCAATGCAGCTGAGAACCAAGAATGGCAGAGAACATGGCAAGAGATGTCGAGAATGCTCATTAAATGGTATGCTTAGAGTTTAGACACAAAATGAGACTTCTTATTATATGAATAATAATTTCTATATGGTAACCAAATTATTTGTGCATCAAAGAAGAGGCACACATAGATGTCATCAATATATCAAAAGGACCTGAGGCTATAGTCTTAGAAACTTAGCGTAACGGACTTATGATGGTAGTGTGTTCCTTAAAAAGGAACAGGTACTTCATTTATATAAGAAAATAACATGTATATTTACAAGAAAAGTTACAGGGACAATGGTGGAATGGAAGAGAGGTAAGAGGGCCTGGGTGTCCCTGTGCATTGAACTCAGAAGAAAGAGAAAACAGAGTAGTCTAGAGGATTAGTGTTCATGAGCAGACACCTAAAAACATGGAATGTGCAAGAACAGTGCTTCTCCTAAAAGGACACGCTCACTGAACTGTGCTCATAACTAGAGTTGTAACACATAATATTTTTAAGACACTGTGTAAGGTTGAGTGGCGCCTTTGTGTTTAAGAGGTGCAAACGAAAGCTGACAAACACAAGCACCGATAGATAAGTGACAAAGAAAAGACCACGAGAAAAGTGGAACCCTGCTATCCCACCTCCCTACTGCGTCCACCCCCGTGTCCCAAAGAGGCCTTCTGCCTACTGAACTCACCACGACCAGCCCTTCAGATGTAATGCACGGGCTAGTTCGGCTGTGAAGGGAGAGACAGATTCGACAAGGCCTGCCTGGAAGAGCCTCGAGAAAAGGGGCTGTCTGAGTGGGGCATCTGGAAGCCAAGACGCCTGGGAGAGTTGCCTGAGACTCTAGCCTGCTGTCTCAGGGAGGATTCACCATCACTGGACTCCGGGTTTCCTTGTCTCCTTGGAGACGCTCAGTACATGCGTAGGTGTAAAAGTGGGCAGAGTGAAGATTTCATTTATATCATATAAGAAAAATAGTCCCAGTCCCCTTTGCAAGGTGTCTGCAGGAGCAAAAGCCTCTTCTCCTACTATATATGTTCCCTTAGTTATTTCACATGAAGGTTTTACGGCTTTTTAATGTATAAAGGGAACTGTTATATATTTTAAGTGCTATCATCAGGGTTCTCAGAATAATAGACCGATCAGCAAAGAACAGTTTGGTTGCTAGTTGGAAAGGCAGAGAGAGGGACTGTAGATGACAGTGCAGAGAAAAATATGGTGCGGAAGAGTAGAAAGGTTACACACACATTTAACACTAAAATAAAGCAAGCAAAGAAAAACAAAGTAATGAAGACTCTATATAACTTATACTCCACCAAATACTGGGAGAACAGGCACTCACTTATTATTATTATTATTATTATTATTATTATTATTATTATTTTTGAAGACGGAGTCTCACTCTGTCACCCAGGCTGGAGTGCAGTGGTGAGATCTCGGCTCACTGCAACCTCTGCCTCCCGGATTCAAGTACTTCTCCCGCCTCAGCCTCCTGAGTAGCTGGGACTACAGACGTGTGTCACTACACCTGGTGAATTTTTGTATTTTTAGTAGACATGGAGTTTTGCCATGTTGGCGAGGCTGGTCTCTAACTCCTGACCTCAGGTGATCCACCCGCCTCGGCCTCCCAAAGTGCTGGAATTACAGGTGTGAGCCACTGTAGCCGGCCTCAATTTTTAAACAGTCAAGTCTCAGAGCAGCTATAGTCAACTCCTCAGTTCAGCGAAGTGTCTTTAAGAAAAACATACACACATACACACAAAACTATTCTTTTTTTTTGGCGGGGGGAGGAGGGGGCAAAATCTTGCTCTGTTGCCCAGGCTGGAGTGCAGTAGCGCAACCTTGGTTCACTGCAACCTCTGCCTCCTGGTTTCAAGCAATTCTCCTGCCCAAGCCTCCCGAGTAGCTGGGACTATAGGCACCTGCCACCATGCCTTGCTAGTTTTTGTATTTTTAGTAGAGACAGGGTTTTGTCATGTTGGCCAGGCTGGTCTCTAACTCCCGACCTCAGTGATCTGCCCGCTTCAGCTTCCCAAAGTGCTGGGATGACAGACATGAGCTATCGTGTCCGGCCATCACAAAACTATTCTTATATGAATAGTTATATTCTTATATGAGCATATTCTTATATGAGCTTATATTCTTATATGAGCATGGTCTCATAAATGCAAAGGAAAGTATAGAACTTAAACCTAAGTTTTCAACAAATGCTTACTGAGCTGGCTCTACAAAATGATCACACATTTCAAAATTAGCTACTAGGATCCGCAGATTTAATTTTTCTGGTTTGAAGGGGGTAAAAAAGTCATGTATGACTTTTTTTTTTCCAGACCCAATATAGGTAGGGTACATGAACTTAAACAATCATATTGCAAACTCCAGCCTCTTCATACCATCTTAAACAAAGGCCCACTAAAGATGATAATCCAAGATACAAGCACAGGGGGAAAGGTTTGCAAACTTGTGTGAACCCAAGGGAAACTGTAGCCGACCTACTGAACAGAGAACACCACAAGATAAAGATGGGCAAACTGGCTTCCAAATTTCAGCCCCCAAATGAATAAACACAGGTAAAATAACTTTAAATATTTGGGATGGAGAGACAACACTAGTGCAGAGAATAATTCATTTTGATATGAATTGCTATGAATTATTCCACAATAATTCCCCAGCTTTATCATGAGTATGTTAACAGAGTAGGAACGAATTATTATCCATATCCTCCCCAAATTAAAATCCATTTAAAAATTGCCTTAGGTCTCAGCAGGAGTTTTAAAACCTAACTGAACAGAACTTATAACATGCTTTGAAATCAACCACTAAAAGGTGTTTTCTTTCCATGATATATAAATTACTGTGGTCTAGATTTGAAATTGTCACATGCAAGGAGAGGCAATAAATCCTTAGTGTTTAACACTATGTATCTGGGCATTATAATACAAATATCCAGCATCTACGATTTGTAAAAAGTAAAAAAACACTTATTATAATGTTCAGTGTGGGACAGTGAAAAATGTGCAATGACTGATGGGATCCCCCTTTGGAAACTATGTCAGAGACCTATGTTCACCATGTTTCCTGTAGATGATGACTTGATAGCCATTTTTACCTGTTATGTGATCAGAACAGATTATGTCCTTCATCTCCAGCTCCACTGCCTAAATCCCAGAGATAATCTTTTTTTTTTTTTTTTTTTTCTTGGAGCCAAGGTCTCACTCTGTTGCCTGGGCTGGAGTGCAGTAGCACAATCACGGCTCACTGTAGCCTTGACCTCCTGGGCTCAAACAATCCTCCCACCTCAGCCTCCTGAGTAGCTGGGACTACAGGCATGGGCCACCACACCCAGCTAATTTTTTCATTTTTGTAGAGACAGGATCTCACTGTGTTGTCCCAGCTGGTTTCAAACTTCTGGGCTCAAGCAATCCTCCCACTTTGGCCTCTCAGAGTGCTGGGATTATAGCTGTGAGTCACAGTGCCAGGCCAGAGATTACTCCAATACAATTGAGGAGTGAGAATGGACTTTTCTTATTCTTATAACAATATCTCAATCACAATTAGAGAAAAGTCCCTTAGGATATATTGTTTGAAGATAAAATTAGATTCTCTGGATACAGAATGTGTGTGGATATGTGTTTGAGTTTATGGGAGACGGAGACAGAAGGGTGAAAAA